GCCAGTTTTGGGAACAAAAGAAAATTACGTAACACCACACAATCTGGGCTCTCTTTAAAAGGTGGCAGGCCTGGCCGAAATATAGATTTGTCTGTCAGATCAGAGTAGCCACCAGACACTCATTCATGTGGGTATTAACATCCAGTAAATGAAGTTACGAATTTTTGAAGAATTTCGACAACGAAAAATCTTGAAAATCTCCCGCTAATTTGTCATGCAACTTCAAATTAAACCCGGCAGCCAGCAGTTAACAGCACCTGAGTAAGACAAACTGGTTAGCGCTGCCCTATGAGTACCTCACCTGTACATGCCAGCCAGGCTGTGAGTTCATGTAGTCAAACAGCTTCTGGTAGTTGGTGTACTGCTGGTCCCACTCTATACCCTTGTCGTAGCGGAAATCGTCTCCCAGGGGAGCCAGGAGTATGTTGGTTCTGTACAATGTGCTCTTCTTGCGGTACTGGTCCAGGAGGATCTGCGCCCTGGAATGAACACAGTGTCAACAGCCTTCTGATGGACCACAGGCAGTTCCCCTGTGTCGACTTGGTATACTTAGAACCAGTATGGGGTCGGAAGAAGAGATCTGACCAAACTGGGATTTTAAGATGAGATCTTTGGAATACCACTTTGGCATTGTGTGCTGACTTGACTTTTTAACCGCATAATCTCTTTTTTTGGGGGGTGCATAAGATAAATATTCCTTGATTCAGCATTTGGGGGAAAGTAACATTTTGATGGGACCTTTTTGACATTTTACAATTTGGCACTGACCAAGAAAACAACATCACACTCTGTAAGTCTGAATTCAAAGTGGGTAAAATAAGACAAATAAAAGTCACAATTCAACCGCAAATCTCAGTCATTTTGAGCATACTGTGTACAATGTGTGACTGCCTGCTATAAGACAGATTTCAGCAGCTTACTTTTGGGCTACGTTCTGTTCAGTGATCGGGACGGGTGGCACTCTCCAGGGGCAGGCGATCCGCCCACCCGGCAGTCTCTTGAAATCATACTGGCAACAGATCTTAGGGTCTGGTCCGCAGGTGTGTGGAATGTCGTAGCTGTAGAACGGCATCATGTGGCAGAACATATCTGTGCTGGAACCATGATCTGTGGACAGGGAACCAGATTGTTACTTTCACTGTCAACTGACGTTTATCATAACACATCTGGCAAAAAAGACTTAAACTGGTTCTAGAACCTGCACTGGAACTTGGACTACATTAACTAAGTTTTGAATTACGTATTGCTGGCACGGACAAATTCTTGTAGAAGCCTTTGAATGAGAGAAGCAGCACAAATTTAAAACTATGAAAAACTTTGGAAAATGATCTAATGATTGTGACCGAAGCCTGTAAACTATTCATCTTGATACACAGATATAGTGGAGGGTGAACAGTGGTTCTGAAAAACCTTATAACACAGCCCCCCATCCCCGAAGGAAATCAGCCTGGTGTCAAGACTTCACTAAGGCACAGGCTGCAGCCAACAGTAGACCCCTAATGCCACGTTGATAGTTCAAGATTCATATCTGGAATCTGTATTCCTCTTGTTTAGCATAGGAATCCAGATGATCAAGTTTGAAACCACACCCATGTCGCTAAGTCTGGCCCCGAACCAGTTTCTCTCACCACAGACTCATAGACTTGAAATCTGCTTTTCTTTTGCTGCTTTTGTAAGTATTACCAATGCTTATCTGGGGCCTATTCTCCAAGTCTAGTTCTTGTCTCTGGCTGAGGATTCATCTCAGACTCAACAATCAATTTTAAACATTTACAGTTGGAATCAAATAAGAACATTCCAACCTTTAGCTTCATTTAGGGGAGGGCAATTTCATGTTCCTGGCCAGAGAGGAGCACACTGAGCTGGAAGCCTTGACTTTGGACCAAATTCAGGACACTTAAGTCTGAGACTAAAGCTAGTGATGAAATTAAGATTTGGACAATTCCCCAACACGGTAAGATCTCCTTACCCCAATTTTGTCTCCAGAGGAACTCTAGTTTCTTCTCTTTAGACAGGTACTTCTTGATGGCGTAGTGGGTACGCTGAATCAGCATGGCCTCAAAACCCATGCGTTGCAGCAGGTAGGCCACAGTAGGGGTCATCCCGAAAGGATCAATGGCCCAGCCAGCCTTGGGCTTCACTCCTGTTGTTGGCAGTGACATTTTGGTAAGAAAACTTCAGGTGATTGATTGCATGAACATCAAGCGTAAAAACAAATGGCACATTCTTTGCACTTCAAGAATCACACTGAATTACAGGTCCATGAAAAAACTTCCCTCTTTCACAAATTTCTTTTTTATTTTAAATCTAATTATTCAAAATCAAACTTTCAACTACTGATCAATTTTAAAGCTGTTAACATACACGCCCCCAAAGAAACTGTCTTATACTTGCCCAGCATACATGCAGCTCACCTAGGAATGCCTCTATCCATTCATGGCCTTCTATGAGCTGATCTACCATGGCAAAGTAGTTGGAGTTTGCCTCATCAGTCATGACCCAGCCACCTGTTACTATCTCCAAGCGGCCCTCCTCTAATAACCTGACAAATGATGGAGTGAAGACAAGATTAAAAACACACCACCAATCAGATTTGTTCTTACTTCAGCATGATATATACCACCAGTCATATCTCGATGAATAACCTGCAACGTGACTGGCAGAAAGCTGGCTTAGTGGATAATCTCGGGGATGATCTCATTTCAGTAGGAACAACCTAGCCACTTGCCACAAAGACAGTGGTCACAGAAACGTAAATCAGCATCTTCCTGTGCTTAAGGATGACAAAAGGCAAGTTGACTTACAACAAATTAATGAGAGAAACTGGTATTGACTTATCCATCTGCAAACTATGTTATATTTGTATATTTGATGGGATATGACGTCTTGAATACCTGAGGGACGCATAGCGCCCTGAGGTGAAGCCGAGGGCGCTCACCTGAGGGCGCTATGCGTGTTTGTCATATCTCAGTCTCCAGGAATTTATCTAAAGAAACAAGTTCTGTATTTCAGAAGACGATGCGCCTACTGTAAAACTGTACAATTAACGTAACAGGCGTTAACGATATCATTTGTAAATGCACTGTCCCCTCACTTTCGTTAATTGCGTAAACTCTAACATCAAACTAGTGCGGGTACCAGTGAGTACATTTATATAGTCTGGTTAACAGTCTCTGCATTACCTGATACGCTGCAGGGACGGGAATGAGTCTGCTATACCAGCGCAATCATCGATCGAAATCCCTAATAGCCTATGCACAAAACGTATCATGGGTACCACGCAAAGCTGACTGATGGACTGCAAATGTTCGCTCTCGAACTTCCCGAAAGCTCTTCTGTTTCGCGCAAGTACGCATGTGCGCACACGCACCGTCGGTAGAATGAGATGTCTCACGGTGAGTGTCATATGCGGATATGTCGCCCTGTCATGTGATCGTTCTGGGCCAATGAACGGACAGTATCCAAGACAGAGGTATGACAATGATATCTAACAGATATTCCAAACTATGACAATGAACCCGGTATCATTTAACAGAAGTGAAACAGCTTCGGAGGTTGCCAATGAGAACATTTTCATCCTCACCTTTTTGTGATGTCCCGGCTCTGTTGGCTGGTGCGCTCCCACCACATGGAGAAGTAAGAAATCTCTGCCCAGATGAACCTCATCTTAGGATGTTCCTGGAGCTTGACCACCATGTTATCCAAGATGTGAACTGTCTGGTCCTTGAAATATTTATCCACAGTCTTTATCCAACCTGGGCATTGTTAAAATCATCAGCACGTTGGTGCACTGAATACGTTATGACAATTTCCATATTTTCCTTATCACTTTTTTTGGAGTATCTAAAAAAACAAGAAGCCTACTCTTGATTTCAAATGAAGCTGCAGATAAATTCTACAGTCTACTAAGAATCACTTGACAGTGGCACTTAAAAAGATAAACGCAGGCAGAGTTTAAGTAACATACATGTAGTGTTAGATTTTTCGTACAAGCTATTTTAAAACAGTACCAGGAGCAATGACTGGCTTGTGCATTTTTTCTATTGGCCTTACTCACAGATTTGCCCATGATGTTATTCTTTGAATCTACGTGGTAAACATTTATACAGTAAATGCAAGTCTGCCACACATAATTCCACATGTATGCATTTTCAGTTTACATATAGCACACACAAACTAATCAGCACACCAACTGGAGCTGAAAGCATTGTATGCTTTGCAATGGCAACTGCAGTGTCAACTTTGTAATAATCAGGGGCCAATTTCATAGAGCTGCTTAAGCACAAAATTTAAAGCGGGCAAAATCTTTGCTTAATAAACAAAGGTTACCAGCTCAAACTCTATCTGATTGTCATGCTAACTAAAAAACAAGCTAAATACAATCTCAAAACAATATACATCACATGGGGTTTTGGCTGGTTACCTGATTTATTGAGTAAGGTTTTCTTGCACTTAAGCGAATTTTGTGCTGAAGCACCGCTATGAAATTGGCCCCTGGTATCTATAACCATACATGTATGTTTATGGCACTTGTACACTCAAGCACGGGCAGGGTTCACCTGTGGCATGACACTATTCTACTTTCTCTAATGTCATTGGTTTGGTTGATACACGCACTTTGTTCAGGCTGGTTGCTCTGGCAACCATTTTTTCATGGTCATTGTAAGGTTCCCAAGGCTAGCACAATTTCTCACTGTCAACCTCACCTGGGTCATTGTGGGAGTGAGGCACTACAAACACTTTGAGTGGATCTTCATTCCACTGGTTTGGGTCATATTTGATATCATAGCCTTGCTTCCAGACACCACCGTCGGGATTGTCAAAGCGAAGGGTGTTGTACACATCCAACATCTAATAAGCAAAGGAAACCAGCAAAGAAGAGACTGGCTGGTAACAAGGTTTCCGACTGTGCACAAATGCAAAGACAATACATTCAAATAGGAATTGATTGAGCATGCTCAATACATCCTGCAAAAAATGTGCAAAAACCTGTGTGCACGTGTGGCGCGAGTTCCCACCAAAGGACAGTTTCTCTGCTTGGAGTGGATAGTAGACATACCGATCTATTTAATTAAGTGTTCATAAATATGTAAAAAAAAAGGGGTAGTCATTCGTACTGGTTTAGAGCCTGTAAGTGGCCGCTCTTAAATGAGTGATAATGCATCGGCTAGTTCACTGTATTCTGTGCAACCACAAGCACTGTGCACCGCGTAAGGACCAATCCGCACCGCATAAGGACCAATCTCCTCATAAGAATACTGGAATATGACTACTCACGAATGGCACGTACCATTTCATTGCTGGAGAGTTGTTAAAAAAATGTGAATTAAAATTTAAGCAAATTTAAAAAAGTAAAAACATTAAAGTTAAATTGTGGAACAAAATTTGTTTTAAGATTTGTAATGTTGAAACTTTGATTAGCAAGCACTATTTATTCCCTTAACCCTCATATGTGGAAGTCACTCTTTGGGTCATTTGGTGAACACCTCAAAGAAGCACAGCTGTGTTGTGTTGCACCAACTGTCCCTCACAGGAATATCAGATTGCACTTTGGTGCTGCCCAACAACTGTGCTTCACTGTTTCATGTGCATAATTGTGCAGTAAACCAAATGCAGTGAAGAGGACTGCACAAAAGACCCTGGGTCATTTTGTGCTGGCAATCAACTGTGTACACACTGAACCTGTGCACGTTTGAGTTCCATATAGAAAATACATGCTCACCAGTGACTGTGGGCATTTGTGCTGTAAAACCAAAGGAGGGTTAATTACATGTTTTACTTGTGGGACCAACTGCTTCTACTAAGTACCCCCAACATTGAGCTTTGCCCACCTGAATGTCAACGTTGTTCCCATTCGGCACGGCAGCAAAGGCACACTCCTCCTTTCCAACTTCAGCTCGCGGGACGTCAAATGGTGGGAGGGGTTTCCAGCTCTGTACCGGCAGCTTGGAGTCCACCTGAATGGGTTGATGGACGGGATCAGTTTTCTTTTGGTGCATGGGCGCCACTGGGTCCAGCTGGGGCAGCTTAAAGGACAGGTCACCCTTGGCCAGTGACTTGACGGCATTCCGCAGCTGGTTGATGGTCTCGTGGTTATTCACAAGGTCGTTTTCTAAGGCACTAATTTTCTTTTGAAGCTGGTCTATCTCCTCCTGTGAAAGCCATGGCACACCATCAACATGACACGTTCCCAACCAAGAAGTGCATGCTCATGTGCATAAATATATATACAAGTAGCACAGCCATGCAAGTACAGAGGACAGTACAACAAACCTCCTGAAGTTTTCGCTGAACAACTGCACCATTCCTTGGAAATTATAGGCCTACATTTTAATGTAAATGGATGATTTTTATCAAAATCTCTACAACTACATCTACAGGTAAATGGGCAACTGTGAGGGGTAAGTTGCTGATAATGCACCTTGAATCAGTCCAGACAAGAGCTCGTCAGTAGTTTATAGTCCTTAGGATCATGGGGTGATAGTTACAGCACCTTGACCACAATATTTCCCATTTACAGGTAGCCCGAGGAGGTTTGCTACTTACATATCCTAACATTATGTACTATGATCCATTGAAAGAATGCATAACAGAATTTGGCATTCACCTGCACTGTACACATGCTAATGTTTTGATCAACTCATCTTTTTAATGTACAGTATGTCTTCTTTTGTACAGGACATTTGTTTGGGACATCCAAAGAATTCAGAGCTGTTTGGGTTAAAAATTATGGGCGAGATTGCACTCCACGCAACGGTGCCAGCTATGCATTTTCAACGATGTAAGCAACTGTACCCTCATCAAGACATTATCATAATCCCCACACGTCACTCTACTGCAATTCTGCTGCAGGTACTACAAACATACGTCAAGGCATTGTAACGCTGCTATCCCGGTTCATCGGGACCATAGACTGATAGAGTGTTCCTGTCACAGCTCCTACTTACTCAAGCACAACCTCCAACCCTTGTCCTAAGTAGCCTCGTCAGCCTCACAGGTATCCATTTTCTCTCACGTGATTCAATGCTGCCATTTCACAATACTGCACCACCAAGAGATTGCAATGCACTGGCCAATCACAATGCACGAACTGTGTCGACCCTTTCCAAACGGGCAGAGGTTATGGTATTGCAAAGTCTTTGCAGCACTCTGTTGTGAAACGTTTGCATTACTGAAGAAGTACATGTAACCCACTCCACTAATTAAAACTCTTGAAGGACAGAAACTGCAGCCCTTATAGCAAGAGCCAAGCCCAAAATTTACCAAATTTCAAAGAAGATCTTGAGCTACAGGCACCCGACAATGAAGTCTTGAGGAGTTGAGTTGACAATGAGATGACACCAAAATAATACAGAGAATCTTCAGGGCAACCATACCTGCCATACAGATTTCGTACTCACATGTGACAACTGCTGAAACTTGAGTTGGGAGTCATGGGGGCTCTGGGGGTCAGGAAATGACCGCGTCTGGTCCAGCATCAAGTACATGGAGAGGATGACCACAAAGAAGATGGCAGCGCCCATGAGGGCCATGTAGGTCTTCATTTTGTAACACTTCAACAGGAACCTCTGCAGTGGAATTAAAACAGGTCTGATTAGTGCCTACAATGCAGTATGAATTGTTCCACGAAGTATAAAATCGGGACAGATTACTCTGTTAATGGTGACCAAATTCTACAAGTAGTTACAAAACATGTGAAAAACAACCTGGGAAAAAAATAGGAATTTCAAGATTTTTTTTTCAAATGCAAAAAAAGATAATATTACTGAAACAGTAGAACACCAAAACTGTGCCCATATTAGGTTCAGGTCAATTTCAGGTCCAGTTTTAGCGAGCCTATAGTGGCCGGATGAATAACTGAAATTGCACTGGAAGATGTACAAAGAACTTCAACGTACAGTATTTGTAGAAAGAATCCTTACTGGACTGTGCTGTATTTAAATGTAAAAACTACTAAGCGGTGGATTTTGGCCTTGAACTGGTATCAAAGGGAGTCATTGCTTCTTGCTGACAAAGTGGATAAGTGTAGGTCTATAAAGTGACTGTGGGGATTTTATCGTGACAAATCTTAGGTGAGTTAACCCCTTCGCGTCGGAAGGCAGCTAGACACGCCGTATAAATTGAGATCCTCTGCCCGCTTTTCAGCTATTATTCTCAGCCCATGCTCGAGCGAACACGGTGAAAGAAGGCAGACCCTGGCTCTTGTATACATGGTAATTGGTCTTTGTGCGTAGCCCAGAAATGAA